GTGGCTGCGTTCGCGTTTTGGCCGCATGCGGTTCCACCTCTCATGTCGGCACACCCCTCACACGTTACGTGGCCCCATAGGGAGCCCCACCGAAGGCCCCAGTGGCTGCGTTCGCGTTTTGGCCGCATGCGGTTCCACCCCGCATTTCGGCACACCCCTCACACGCTTCGTGGCCCCATAGGGAGCTCCACCGAAGGCCCCAGTGGCTGCGTTCGCGTTTTGGCCGCATGCGGTTCCACCTCCCATGTCGGCACACCCCTCACACGCTTCGTGGCCCCATGGGGAGCTCCACCGAAGGCCCCAGTGGCAGGGTCCGCATGGCGGCCTCGGGCCATTTTGGCACACCCATCACGAGGATCGTGGCCCAATGGGGGGCACCACCGAAGGCCCCAGTGGCAGGATTCGCATGGAGGCCTCGGGCCATTTCGACACACCCCTCACTATAATCGTAGCCCCAAAAGGAGCTCCACCGAAGGCCCCAGTGGCAGGGTTCGCATGGCGGCCTCGGGCCAGTTCGACACACCCCTCACGAGGATCGTGGCCCCATAGGAGCTCCACCGAAGGCCCCAGTGGCAGGGTTCGCATGGCGGCCTCGGGCCATTTCGGCACACCCCTCACGAGGATCGTGGCCCCATAGGAACTCCGCCGAAGGCGCCAGCAGCAGGGTTCGCATGGCGGTCTCGGGCTATTTCGGCACACCCCTCACGAGGATCGTGGCCCCATAGGGGGCTCCACTGAAGGCGCAGGTGGCAGGGTTCGCATGGCGGCCCCAGGCCACTTCGGCATTCCCCTTGAGGAGGATCGTGGCCCCATAGGGAACTCTACCGAATGCCACAGTTGTGGCAGGGTTCGCATGGCGGCCTCGGGCCATTTCGGCATACCCCTCACGAGGATCGTGGCCCCATAGGAGCCTCCACCGAAGGCCCCAGTGGCAGGGTTCGCACGGCGGCCTCGGACCATTTCGGCACACCCCTCACTAGAATCGTGGCCCCATGGGAGCTCCACCGAAGGCGCAAATTGAAAGGTTCGCATGACGGCCTCGGGGCATTTCGGCACACCCCTCACGAGGATCGTGGCCCCATAGGAGCTCCACCGAAGGCGCCAGTAGCAAGGTTCGCACGGCGGCCTCGAGCCATTTCGGCACACCCCTCACGAGGATCGTGGCCCCATAGGAGCTCCACCGAAGGTCCCCGTGGCAGTCTCCCTCATGGCTCTCGGAGCCTTCTCCTACATTTGCTCCTCGGTCAGAGGGACGCGGTCCTCGTCGTCGTCGTCGTCGTCGGCGCCCGCGAAGACGGCCACGAACGTGTCCCTGAGCATGTCGGGCTCTGGCGGGAAGCCGTGGCCACATAGGGAGCGCGGGCGAAGATGGTATTCACAATTGCGGTATTCACAACTGCACATGGTTGGGTCTTTCGCCAGGCTAATTTTCGACGTCGGATGTCCGACGACATCCGACAATGGCAATGCGTTTGTTCCATCCTGGCGCCGTTCCTCTGTTCGGGCCCCTGGGGTCCATTTAGGGCTCGGGCACTGAGACCATCATGAGCTGTTCCTGGGCGTAAAACTACTCCTGGGGAAGGGGTCGGCACTGAAGAGATCTGATTGTCAGATGCCTCGAGGGCATCCGTGACGACGAGGAGCTCACCGAGGCTGACTGCCGAGTGCCCCCGGTGCAGCACGGCCTTGGCGGTTGACAAACCAGTAAGCCTGTGACGAGGACTCGTGATTCGTTTGTGGGATTCCGTGACTACCCTGACCATCATCGTCCGCCTCCCCATACATTTTGTGTTGTTGTATTTATATATCTCTCTCTTTATTTCTCTCTCTCTCTCTCTTTGTTCTCTCTCTCTCTCTATATATATAGATATGTATATGCATATATGTATGTGCATGTAGTGTAATGTTTTTAGTGCCATTGAATGCAGCATCGTGTAACGTGCTGTAGCGCAATCTAAGGAAACGCATGCTTATATGGTAGCGCTGTAGAAAATATTTGGTTGGTTGTACATGTGTATGTATGAATGCATGCATGCATGTATGTGCATAGACTTATGTATGTACGTGCATGGGTGCATGTTCGTATGTATGTAAGAACGAATGTATACATATATGTACGTATGTATGTATGTATGTGTTCATGTCTGTAAGTATGTATGTGCGCATACATGTATGTATGCATGTATGTGTGTATATAGTTGTGGTTGTGGGTGTGTGTGTATGTATGTGTGTATGTCTGTGTGTATGCATGTTTGTATGTATGTAGTCAGGTATGTACGCACGGAATTGCGTTATGTGTGTTATGTATGTATGGATGTATTTATGTACGTATGTATGTGTTTATGTATGTACGTATGTATGTATGTATGTATGTATGTATGTATGTATGTATGTATGTATGTATGTATGTATGTATGTGTGTGCGCATGTATGTATGGATGGACGTATGCATGTATGTATGTATGTATGCATGCATGCGTGTATGTATGCATACATGCATGCATGCATGCATGTGTGTCTGCATGCGTGCATGCATGCATGTGTGTATGCATGTGTGTATGCATGTATGTATGTATGTATGTATGTATGTATGTATGTATGTATGTATGTATGTATGCATATGTGTGTATGTATGCATGCATGCATGCATGCATGCATGCATGCATGTGTGTATGGATGTATGTATGCATGCATGCATGCATGTACGTACGTACGTATGGATGTATGTATGTATGTATGTATGTATGTATGTATGTAGGTATGTATATATGTATGCACATGTGTATGTGTGTACGTATGTATGTATGCATGCATGTGTGTATGTGTGTATAGTTATTTATGAGTGTTTATGTATGTATGTCTGTCTGTATGTATGTATGGATTGTATGCATGCATGTATGTATGTACGTACGTACGTATGTATGTATGTATGTATGTGTGTATGTAGGTATGTAGGTATGTGTATATGTCGATATGTATGTAGGTATGTAGGTATGTAGGTATGTATGAATGTATCGGTATCTCTCTCTCTCTCTCACTCTCTCTCTCGCTCTTTCCCTCTCTGTTTCTCTACCTCTCTCTCTCTCTACGCTGAGGCCAATGTCGAGAGGAAGCGGCACGGGTGGTGCGAGCTTGCGCAGACGATGTCGCGGCTGCACTGGTCCCCTTCGTGCACATCTCACGCATGCTTCGCATAATGAGATGCGCGGGGAGGCTTGCGAATTTGGTCTTGAGGCCGAGCTCTCGAGCCCCTCCAATCCAAGATTCAGGCATTGTTGGTCTGGCATGCGCCACAATCGGCAGACTTCAATGCAGCGCCCTGCCTCTTCTTCCCGGCTTTGTGGGTCGGCCCCGCAGCGACGCGGCAGATCACCCGGCGCGTCTCCTGGCGCCGGCGTGTCGAAAACGCGCTCATGCGACGGGGGACGGTGCCACCTCCGTCACGCACCACGCAAAGAGGGTCACTCTCGCGTTGGGATGCAGTGGAAACACATGCCAAGAGACACCCTGCTTGCCTCCAGGGTGCCCTGGGTTTCTTGGGCTTCGATGGTTTTGCCATGGAAGCCGTGACGTTCCCACACAACAAATCAATGGATGTCCTGGGGTGGCAGGGTTGGGTTTCTTGTGGAAGGTCTCTTGTGGTCGAGCTCCTACTGTACGACGGGCAGTACTTGCCGCTCCCGTGGACCTTGCGGCGCGATGGGCCCGCGGCCTTCGCCGAGGTGGTCAGGATGCCGATCGAGGTTCTCGCGGTGAAGGACTGGGTTCAGGTGGAGGTGTGGGGAGGGCCTCGAATGAGGTCGGTGCACCTCTCGCCGACGTCGGCCCTCATCCGGGCCGCCGGCGTCGCGCTCTCTTCTTTCTCGGCACCAGCGCCAGGTGGACGCCGCCGCCGACTACGCGCCGCTGCCGATGTCCTCCTCGCGCGCGCTGGTGCCCAACCTTGGTGGAAGTTGCGTTCGTGCGCTGAGTTCATGGTCGATGCGCTGTGGATCGTAGCGCTGCCGGAGGGAGAGAGCCACCCGCAGTCTCTCCTGAAAGTGTGGCGCCGTGGAGTGCGGCGCGGGGGAGGAGGCCCATGCGCAGCCGCGCGTGCGCGCGGTGGTGGAGTCGGCCTGGTTCGAAGGCCATGTCCTGTCGCAGACGCTCGAGCGGCGGCTCTTGGAGTGGTGGTTAGAGCTGTCCAATCAGATTCGCGCCATCCTGTGGGGCCAGTTCGGGGCCTTGGTCTCGACGGCGTCGCGGGCCTGCGCCTTCCAGGTCATCCGCTCGATATCCAGCGGCTGGATCACGTGCCCTGGGGCGCCGATCTGGCATTCTCGACTGCGACGAGGCCGACTGTTTCAGCCAGTAAGTGAATTGCGACCGCCCCTCGTGGGCCGTCTCGTTGGCCTTGGGCAGGATGCTGTCCGGCGGCCGCGTCGTCGAAGGAGGGCCTCTCTTGTGGCTCGGCGTGGGCACGGTGGCGCAGCTGTTGGGTGCCGATCGGTTTGAGAACTTGGTCATTTCGTCTTGCTTCTACCGCTCGTCGCGGCAGCAGCTCTTCGTGCCGCCCGACGACGTGCTCGCGCAGGCTGCGCCCTGCGCCGCTCGGCTGAGTGTTTGCCCCTGCGCATCGCGAGGAGTAGGATTTTCTCGGGGGCGCGAGGGCTGCGGCGACTAGCGGCCGCTAGCCGGTTGGAGAGCTCATTCCGATGCTACCATGGTCTCTCTCGCTCCCTCTCTTTCCCCGTCCACCCCCTCCTCCTCCTTTTCCTCCTCCTCCTCCTCCTCCTCCTCCTCCGACTCCGTAGCCATTTTGGCTCAAGCCATTTTGGCTCAAGTGGGGACAGGCCCCATTGAGTTGAGGCAGCTCCCTTCTCGGAGCGTTCCTGGGGTTAGAGCCAGGCGGTCACCTTTCAGATTTCACCTCCCCTGCTGAGGGGGCCCCACATTTTGTGCGGGCAATCACTCTTGCTGCCATGGCAGTGGATGCTAATGCTATGCGAGAGCTCCTGCAGGCTGAGTTCAAGCCCGTGCAGGATCATATCAATACACTGGCCAGTGGCATTTCGAACAACATAGCGCTGATCAAGCAGGTCGACGCCGATACGAGTGCGAGGATGGACGCCTTCAGCAGAGATGTCGCCGAACTTCGTGCGCAGCTTCAGGGCATTCAGACCCGCATGGCTGCCATGGAGATGCGTGCAGCCATCGACACCTGTGGCCCGATCGACTTGGAAAATGAAGATGACACGATGACCGACCCCTACGGTGGCCCACGTCGTGTCCGTCCTGTTTCCCTACCTGACGCTGAGCTTGCTGCGCGCGTCGAGAAGCTTGAGGGTCTCATCGCATCCCGGCCATCCAATCCGAGCAGTACTTCTCCTGGCAGTGCGACCTCACAGCGAAGTGACCCATGGTCTTCCTTCGTGCCCTCTTCTGCTCGCTCTTCGAGGCGTCCTGCTGCCACGGAGGATGGTCGTAATCGCAAAAAGATATGGATCCGAGGCTTCCCGAGGAAGCTGATGGCCTTTTCCTTCCAGAATCACTTCTCGGTGATCAAATCGAAGATGGACCGCGAGTATAAAGATAAGTGCAAAGCGCAGGTTGATAATTTCAAGTTCAGCTACAACATTCAGTTTGATAATGAGGCTGATGCTCAGCTATTCCCCGCCGCCGCCAGAGCTGACCCTGCATTCCTTACCTGGACTAACCCACGCGAGGGGAAAGTCTACCCTCTTCGTGCTGGCTGGGATCAGCCGTTGCCGATTCGTCAACGCTCCTTCGCCCTTGGACAGCGCTGGCAGCTCATCATGGATGAGATGAAGGCGAAGGGTCTCTGGCAGCAGTCCATGCGCCTCGGGTCGAACCCGTTCGCTGGCGTTCTCCACCTTTCCAACTCCGCCACGGAGGATGTCTGGGACCTGGCCAAGATCATGGAGAACGAGGGCGAGCTTGGCACCTTCAACATCACCCCGCAGAAGGACATGCACGACCTTGGGTTCGAGCCGGCCTTCACCGACGCGCTGGCTGAGAGGGTCGCTGCCGTCATTGCCAAGCAGCGCTAGGATGCAGTACTATGGGACACGGCAGCTGGTTCCTCTACAGTGGCCTGCAGTACTGGCGAGCGACGTGGACGACCACGTGTGGGTGCTCGCGCAGTGAAAGCGCGCCTCTGTGTGCCTCCCCCTCCCCTTCCTCGCCCTCGTCCTCCTCCTCCTCTTCCTCTTCCAGCTCGTCGTGCGAGGAGCCGCCTTCTGTGCTCCCTGGCATGCACACTAAGATCTTGAATTCGTGGATAGCTCCTTTTTCTCTGACTGAGTCGTTCGGGGTGGTTTCCTGGAATTCGCAAGCGTTGCTAGGTTCGGCTGGTGCCAATCATCAGCGTCAGTGCCGCAAGTACGTATGTTTTCGAAACCTCGTCGAGAAATATATGATCGCGTTTACGCAGGAGACACATGGTACGTTTGATGATCTGGAGACTCTTCGGCGCGACTCCCCCTCCCATTATCCTATCGGTAGTTTCTGCAGCACCCCGAATGCTGGAGGCGTCGTTGTATCCATCTCGAAAAAGCTCTTTCACAAGTTCTCGGCCGCTCGAGTGGCCCCCGTCGCCCCTGGGAGGATTCTGGTTCTCCGTCTTGCCGGTCCAGCTGGTCAGTTCGTGCTGGGCAATGTGCATTTAGACCCTGCCTTATCGTCTGGCGGAGTATATCGTGTCTTACAGCAGCTCAGGCGTGTGGTTCCTGCTCCTGGGCAGGCCTCTGCCTGCGTCGGTGGCGACTGGAACTTCCCTGAGCTCGACGAGTTTAGGCAGGCTGTTGACGGCAGCATCACCATACCTCCTGATGACAGCATCACCCTCCACAGGTTCTCTAGCCTCTTTGGTGAACTCGCAGAGGTACCCCAAGAAGAACCCACCCATCGTACTTCTATTGGTGATGTTGTCCTATCTGCACGCCGTCTCGACCGCATTTATTGGTCAGCGCCGACAGCCGAGATGCTCGACTGGCACGCACGTTCTAATGTCATAGGGCTCGCTCACGACAGACACGGGTGTTCTGACCATGTTCCCGTTTTCGTCCAGGTTGCTCCTGGGGCGGGCCCTTCGTCTTTGCCGAGATGGGTTACTTCGCACCCTGACTTTCCTGAGCTGGTCGAGAGTGTCTTGAGTGAGTATGAGCTGAGTGACGACCCTTTTGATCGCCTTCGGGAATGCAAGGCGGCCATGTTCGCTGCGCGGGGCTCCTTGGCCAGCCAGCTCTACCGTCTGGGGCCGAGTGATGGTCGTCAAAAGATTGCCGTCTGCCTCAGGTTTATGCGTGCTGCTCGTGCCCATAAACGTGCGCATCTACATGCTTGCCTTCATGCTCTTCCTTATCTTAGCAACTATTACGACTTTCACAACATGTTCTACCTTGACTATGAAGGATTCCATGAATACCTCCGGGCCCTCAACGCTGACATGATATCTGACATTATGGTTAGTGCATGTACTACTCCTGCTGGTCATATTGACGCTGCCAAGCAAGCTAGGATGCAAGCCCTTCTTCGCTCTTGGTCGGTGAGGAGGCGTGAGCTCGCCACTTTTGCGGTTGGAGACCCGCTCGACTCTGCGCCGCCGTCGATTGGGCAGTCTGCAAAGAATTTAGCCGAGCATTGGGGCGAAGTGCATCGTGCGCCTCCTCTTCCTCCTTTTGTTCACCCCCGCGTTCTTGCTGAATTAGGTCGTGAGTTTCAACAGATTTCTCCTGGCATCTCTTGGGGGCTTGAAGAGTTCGAGCTTCGGTCCGTTATTATGAATAGGAAGGACTCTGCCACTGGTCCCGATGGCATCCCTTACAGTGGGTGGAAAAACGGAGACCCCATGGTACATCAGTGTCTGTATCAAGCCTATGCAGCCCTTCTCCGTGGTCATGCTCCCCCTCTTGGCTTCAATCATGGCTTACTCGCTAGCCTACCTACGGTTGACGTCGCTGAGGGTGAGGCTAAATCTATCCTGGAGCCCAAGCAGACCCGCACTCTCACTCTTAGCAACACGGACAATAAGTTGATATCTATTGCCCTGGCGATCCCGTTCCAAACGCAAGCCCAGCACTCCGTAGTATCGTGTCAACGGGGGTTTATTGGAGGCCGCAATCTCTTGGACAATGTTGCTGAGTTGGAGTCTTGGGTGGTTGACTGGGCCTGCTATCGTGGCCTCAGGTATCCTGGCATGCTCTTCCTGGATATAGCTGCTGCGTTCCCTTCGGTTCATCACCCCTGGATTTTCAGGGTCTTGGACGGTCTCGGGGCGCCCTCTAAGATCGTGAATGCCATCCGCATGCTGTGCAACAACATATATGTATCCGTCGCATATTGTGGCTCCGTATTTCCAGGTTTCCATATTTCCCGTGGAATGAAGCAAGGGTGCCCTCTCTCTTCCTTGATATTTGCCTTAATATTTGACCCTGTTGTGCGTGGTCTTCGGCGCCGACTGGAAGACCACCCTGCTTATCCTCTTGCCTGTGCTGATGATATTGGCATCGCATCTGGTGACCTCTCTAAATCAGTGCCTGTGGTGATAGATTGGATGCAGCATACAAGTCACGCCACAGGCCTCAACCTCAACCCCCGTAAGTGTTGGATCGTCTTTGCCATGGATGCCGACCCGGCTTCCGTCGTCAACGAGTTTGTTTCTTTGGGTATACCTGTGATGGACTTTCGAGGTGGGAAGTGTGCAAAGTATCTTGGTGCATATCTTGGCGTTGACGGATCCGATGAATCCTGGAAGGCTCCATGCATTAAGCTGCTCGAGAGGGTTGCCCACATCCGCTCATTGAAGATATCTATGATCCAGAACATTCGTGCATACAACGTTCTCGCTCAACCTGTGTTATCTCACGTTGGTCAATTATATGTTGTACATGAGCGTGTCACCACGACAGAACATACAGCTCTGCAGAGGCTGACGGCCTCTCCCAGACACGCCATCTCCACTTCACTGCTGAAGAATCTGGATCAGCTTGGCTTTGATACGGTGCCTCGTGATATCACTTGTGAGAATCGTGCTGCTCTATTTCGATCTGCGCTACGAAGCGCGGTCTTCGATGGCATTTCTATTCGGTTCCATCAGATTGAACATTATGATGTTGATGTTATGCTGCCTCCCCGCCTTCCCCAATGGCTCCAGCATTCTGTCACTCATACATGGCTTGAACTATAAGAGGCTGGTCGCCATTGCCCCTCATCTAACTGAAGATGATGTGCACGAAGTTCAGAAGAAAGTATTCAAGCTCCTAAGATCTCAGCGCGAGGTTCCCCCCATTGCACACCTTCTTGGGCCGCGGATTCGATGCTTCTGGCCCGAGGCTCCTTGGGAGATCGCTGATGCTGCTGTCATGTGCATTCATTTCCTGGTCAAGCGTGCCGGCCCCTTCGCGGCCGTCTCGTATATCAAGACTATCTGCAATGCCTGGCCAACAACCGTAGGTTCCGTCAAGGGACCCAGATATGTCGTTTTGGTTGCCAGGCCTTATCGGTGATGCTGTTGATCACTACCTCCACTGTCCTGCTGCTCTGAGCGCCCTGCTTGCAGTTTGCCGAATCTGCCTCCTGATTACGCCGCGCGAGCCAGACATGAGCATTTTTTTTGTTCTTCTTCTTCGGGGGCCCCCGGGCCAGTCAGAACCTATTATCGACCCTCCTTGTGCATGATATTACGTTAGCATCTCACAACACTTTGCGCACGCAGGACAGATGCGGTCCTGTGTGCCTCTCTGCTCTCTTCCGCGCGCGTGCGCGGGTGCTGGCCCGCCGCCGCGCTGGCATTCGAGATCTGCTGCAGCGAGCTGGCCCAGCAGGCCCGCCCACCGCTGCTGCCGATGACGCCGCTAGCAGAGCGGGAGACTGATGGACTGCTTGCCCTCTTCTCTTTCTTCTCTTGTCCGCCTGCCCTCGTCTCGTCACTATGCCTTTGCGCTCCTCCTCCTCCTCCTCCTCCGACGCCGACGACGACGACGACGACGACGTTGCGGACGTTGCGGACGTTGCGGATGCTGGCGAGCGGTCTGTCCTGGCGGGCGCGAGCGCCCGCGCGCGGAACGCGCACGGCCGCTCACGCCCGCCAGGGCGCAGCCGCCCCGCCACGCGGCCTCCACCCCCTCCGCCTCCTCAGCCTCCACGGAGGCTGGGGTCTTCCAGGCCTCTGCGGCCCGCCCGCCTCGCGGCCTCCGCGCGTGGGGGCGTCCTCGAGGCCCCCCATCGAGCCTCCGCGCTGGGCCTGGTTGCCT